AAATTAACATCGGTTTCCATTCAGAATTGGTAAATCTCAATATTGCCATCAACACAAGATCAGTTATAAAGATGGTAGAGATCGGAGCATTCCTCCTGGTGCCTCTCCCACAAAGGGTTCAAATTTTAAATAACGAAAATGATCATAAAACCCGGAAAAGTAATCCGGTTCTCTTCAAATTACACACATCACAATATTTTTATTAGCCCAAGGTCTGGTGTGAAGGTGGGATACATCCGTCCACTACTTCTGGTAGCTCCCACAACAGAGTCAGCATTTTGAAGCTCATAAAACGCGAAATTAACATTCGATTCCACTCAGTCTTGGCAAATCTCAACATTTCCATCAACACAAGATCCGTTATAAAGATGGTAGAGATCGGACCATTCCTTCTGGTACCTCTCCCACATAGGCTTCAAGACTGTGAAAAACAGAACGCTCAGAGAAAACGAAATAAGCATTCAACTCTCTTCAAACAAACATTTTTGCTAGCACAAAATCTGTTGTGAGGGGATATATAAATGCGAATCCCTTCTTGTACCTCACCCACAAAGGGTCACAATTTCAATACTTATATCTGTCATGACTTGCGAAACATGGCGATTCTTTACAAATTGCTACATCTAAATACTTCTCTTAACCAGAAACCTAAGGGGGAATATGGAACTTATGATTTAGCATAAATTCTAATTGTAAATGTCCGATTTCCTTCAAATTTTTCCGATTTCCTTCCAACATTTTTATCTGTATTAGATGAAATATGAAAATGAAATACTTCGCTCCGTTATATCAGGCACCTCAGGCATATTTCCACATTTTCCCAAAATCTGCACATATCTCATATAAAGTATAGGAAGTAGCCCAAATCTGGCACGTTGTAATATTTATATCAGTCTTAGATCAGATACGAATTGGCCTACTGTTTTGGAACCTCCCCCTTAGTCATCAGTTTGAATAATCATAACTCAAGGGTGGGGGTGGTTTACATTTGTCGGCAAAATCGACTGATACTATTTTATTTGTTGTGTACTAATTTCTTGTTTTTATTTTCTTTTACAGGATGCCCATCGCACCTACATACGACCCTATAAACGTAAACGACGGCTCCGGGAAAATAAACTGGTCTTTGTCCTGGACAGTGATGAGTCTGGAGACGAGGGCAACAACTCCAAGTCACCACAAAAACGTAAGAAACGTGAAAAACATCATAACAGCCATGAGACCGATACAAGTTCCGAACAACATCAAAAGCCGGCAAAGAGAAAGCGACAATGCAAGGAAAATCCAGAATTGAAAACATTTGTCGAGGAGTTTCAGGAAATGTGTAAAGAAGTGGAAAGCTTTGAATTAGTTGTGGAGACGAGTACATAATTGTAGATCAAAATTTCCAGAGAGGCAGCAAAGTAATGCAAGCAAGCATGATGTAAATAAGTTATTCAAAAAAATGGTGTATAAAAATAGTATTGTAATGCCATAGGTTTAAGAGTAAAATTTGTTTTCTTTTTTTTAATTTGTACTTTCTTTTTGAGATCATAGTCCAATATTTTATGTGTGTGTTTTTTTTTTCGTTTACCTTTAAAAGGAGTCCTCTTCCTGTGTTTTCTTTTGTACGTTCTAATTTAAATTTATATTTTTAATCACTGTATTTCGATGCAATTTAGTATTAAGTAAAAAACGTAACAATTTTCAACATATCTATATGTGTATTAGTTGCTAAGATAAAACAATGAAACTCATAGAAAATAAATATTGATTGATTCAATATTCTTTTTTGCAATTGTGTGTTTAATATAGATCTTTTCCTTATTCCATAGCCCGGGGGATTGTGACATTTATTACAGACTTGAGGAAAATCTATTCAGTAGAGCGAAAAGATGTTAAACGTCTTTGGGAATTGCTTTCACGACATAAGGACTTGACTCTGGTCTCTTCGAAAATATAGCAGCTTAGATAGCGGCGTCCGAAGTTAAGTGGTGTTCCGACAAGTGTATTTCACTATTTCAGATGAGTACATCAATATTTCAAACCCAATACCAACAACCCCCGCTATTACATCCATCCAGATCCAATCATACGGAATGCTATGTAATAGTGCAGAAAAAAAAAATAGTAAAATAGTATCAGTCGGTTTTGCTGACAGATGTATACCCCCAGGCTTGAGCTATGTTTATTCAAACCATGGTACAATAAGGAGGTAGAACAGCTTCGTAGAAATACAGAAATACAGCCCTGAAGCTATGCCCGCTTCCTGTCAGAATTTTAAAAATTCAAGTTGTTTTCATTTATTTGATATTTTTTGTCCATTTCTAAAATGAGTCAAAAAACGCGAAAGATGAATGAAATGCCTGGATGTTCTCTCAAAAATATGATCCTAAGTGTTCAATCTTTCAATTCCATGGCAAATCTGGTTAATATCATTAATGCGCGCCCCGCAATTTATGTTTCTTCCAATCATTGATTTTGAAAATATTTTGTTTTTATTTTTCAAAACAAAAAATACATACACAAATATGGCAAATGTCGGACACACTTAGAAAAAAATTGTAATCAGTTGGGAGCTCTACGGCCAATTCTTATCTGCCCTACGACCGATAGAAATATTACAACGTACCAGATTTGGACTATATCGACTACTTCCTATACTTTATATGAAATATACGCAAACTTTTGGAAAATATGGAAATATACGTGGAGTAACATATATAGCGGACCATTTCATTCTTCATCTAATACAGATAAAAATATTGGAATGTACAAAATTTGCAGGAAATTTAACACTTATATCAAATCTTAAATTCCGATAAAATAAACCTATTTAAATCAGATTTCTGGTTGAGAAAAACATTTAGATATAGCAAGTTGTAAAAAATCGCCGGCTTTTTTCGCAAGTTATGACAGATATAAGTAAATTGTGGCCCATTGTGGGTGAGGTAGCAGAAGGGGTTGGCAGATATATATCATCTTCACAACATATCTTGTGTTAGCAAAAATATTTGGATGGTGGAAATTTGAAGAGATTTGGATGCTTATTTCGCTTTCTTTGAGCGTTTTGTTTTTTTTTTTTAATCTTGAACCCTATGTGGGGGAGGTGCCAGAAGGAATGGTTCGATATATACCATCTGATGAAAATATTGAGATTTACCAAGTCTGAATGGAATCGGACGTTAATTTCGTGTTTTATGAGCTTCAGAAATATCCAAAATTTTGATCCTATATGGAGGAGGTACTAGGAGTGCACCAATATGTTCCAACTTCACGCCAGACCTTCGCTTAATAAAAATTTTGTGATGTGTGTAATTTGAAGAGAACCAGATTATTATTTCGGATTTTGTAACAAAAGGAATTGTCCGATCTCCACCATCTTTATAGCAGATCTTGTGTTGATGGAAATATTGAGATGTGCCAAGTCTGAACGGAATCGGATGTTAATTTCGTGTTTTATGAGCTTTATAAATATTAAAAATTCTGACCCTTTGTGAGGAAGGTACCAGAAGGAGTGGGTCGATACGTCCCATCTTCACACCAGACCTTCGCTTAATAAAAATATTGTGATGTGTGCAATTTGAAGAGAACCTGATGCTTATTTCAGATTTTATGATCGTTTTGGTTATTCAAAACGCTGACCTTTTGTAGGGGAGGCACCAGAAGGAATGGTCCGATCTCTACCATCATCATGACAGATCTTGTGTTGATGGAAATATTAAGATGTGTCAAGTCTGAATGGAATCGGATGTTAATTTCGCGTTTAATGAGCTTCATGAATATTCAAAATTTTAAACCTTTGTGGGGGGAGGTACCACAAGGAGTGCACCGATACATTCCATCTTTACACCAGACCTTCGGTTAATAGAAACAATGTGATGTGAGTAATTTGAAAACAATCGGTATTTTACATCACGTTTTGTAAAAGTTATAAGTATTCAACATTTTAACCCTTTGTGGGGGAGGTACTTGATGGAGTGGACCGATATTGTCAATTTTCGCACATGACCTAGCACTGCTGCAAATGTTAGGATTTGCAAAGTTGTAGCAAAATCGGATAGTCCTTTCTCCTGCTGTGCAGTAAATTTTCTTTCTTTGAAAATGTTGACGTTTTGTGTAGGAGGTACCAGAAGGAGTGGACCGATATTGCCCATCTCCGAACTCGATCTAATTTTGACAATAATATTACGATGTACCAAGTTTGTATTAAATCGGATACAAACTTCGAGAGTTATCGTGCGCATCAGCCAGCCAGCCAGACGGACGGACGGACATCGCTAGATCGACTCAAAATGTCCGGAAACGGATTTGGTCCAAAGATACATAGGGTCTAAAACCGATACTTCGATGAGGCACGTTTTGGCAAGTATCAAATGATATATACCCTCTTTAACCATATGGCTGAGGTTATAACATAGACAAATAAAGGTATAGACTAAAAAGTTTTAAAATTTACCCCTTCCGGCAGATGTCACTCTGGTTGATCTTGGGCCAGTCAAGTCACTCAGGGCTAGTGAAGTCACTCGACTTCGAAAACAATTTATTCATTTTTCTGCTATTTAAGTTCTATATTTTTATATTTCACGACATATTTGGATAATGTAAAAGTAAACAAAGTCCATGTTTCGTTTTTAATTGATAAATAATAAAGAATCATAAAAATATTTAATATTTTGTATTTTGAGAGAATTGAGTGAGTCTACTGAACCTCTCTCACAGCATGAACGACATCTATTGAAGCACTTTTTTCAGAGATAACAGATGAGGCAACTTTTTAGTCTATACCTAATTTGTCTATGGTTATAATAACGACGATTTGACACTTCCCTTTTCTTTCATCTTATTAATCGCTCTCTTTAATTATACACTCCAACATCTTTAAACTTTTTTGACTCTCATGGTAAAATACGCAAACGTTTTGCGTCAAGTATTAGGTTGGCCGCCAACTGTCAACGAAACAGCTGATAAATGCAACCCCCCTTGACAAAACAACAAAACATTCAAGTTATCAGTGACTAAACACCAACCAATACCAAATAGCATAACAGCAGCAGTGAAAAAAAAAAACAAAAAATCCCTCTGTGATTAATGGATAATTGATAAAAAATAAATCAGTTCTTTTTTTTATCAAATATTTCCACATTTTGTAATAGATAATTTAAATTTTGTTAAAAAAAAACAGGAACATGGAAAGTGTTTATGCTCCACTAAGCGAGTCCTGTGCCAAGGCACTGGGCGATAAAGTTTATGAGAAACGTAAATTGGCCTCGCAGGAAATTGAAAAGTGGGTGGAAATGGTTGAGATAATTAATTAATTGAAAAGCATTAACATAATTTGCAATTTTATTTCCTCCAGAATGGTTACGGAATTCAATGCCAAAAATAACTCCGCACAAATACGCAAACTAATTGAGGTACTGTCAAATGATTTCGCCTCATCAAGGGATGCCAACAAGAGAAAGGGTGGCCTAATTGGTTTGGCTGCCACTAGTTTGGGCTTGGGAAAGGATTCCTCAAAATATGTCAGTGAACTTGTGACACCCATATTGAACTGCCTCAGCGATCAGGATTTGAGAGTGCGTTATTTTGCCTGTGAATCCCTGTATAATGTGGTGAAAGTGGCCCGTTCTTCGATCATACCATTTTTCCCGGATCTCTTTAGCGCCTTAAGTCGTCTGGTGGCCGATTCCGATCAAATGGTCAAGGATGGCAGTGAACTTTTGGATAGAATGTTAAAAGACATTGTCACCGAGTCTTCGCAAAATTTCAATCTGGAGGCATTTATTCCGCTGCTGAAAGAACGCATTTATGTTAAGAATTCATATGTACGCCAATATGTTATCTCCTGGATTTCAATATTGAATGCAGTGCCGGAAATCAATATGGTTACCTATTTGACGGACATCATTGATGGTCTGTTTACAATGCTGGAGGATAATACGCAGGAGATTCAGAGAATGTGTGAGACCACCTTGACACAATTTCTGAAATCCATACGCAATGATTCGAGTTCGGTGCGCATGGAGGATACAATTAATATTCTTATAACACATGCCCAGTCGCCAAATGAACTGATAAAGGTATTTTGTTAATTAAAATGCTTTAGCATTTAAATAATTATGTTTTTTCTTGTAGTCCACTGCCATAACATGGATCCGTGAATTTGTCATAATATTCGGTTCAAAAGTTTTACCCTATGCCAGCGGTATCTTTACCGCAATTCTACCCTGTCTGGAGTACAATGTGGACAATATGAAAAACATCAAAGAATGTGCGGTGTCGGTAAACAAATCCATGATGAAATTGGTCTCATCCAAAGAACATAAATCTCAAAATATTGAACAATTAGATTTGCGATCAATTATGGCAGTTCTATCACAGTATTTAACTCACAATTCGGTACAGACGAAAGTTGCCGTTTTGGAATGGATTCACCATTTGATAATACATTTTCCCAATGAGGTAAGAATTTGAAAAAATCTATTATTTTTATGAATATCACATCAGAAGAAAATACAGTTTTGTGAAAGCAAATGATTTTACAATTCAGACACCACCGAATATTTTATGAAAAAAAAAAAACTCGAGGATTTGGACAAGAGATGTGAAGAAAATCTTTAGAGTATATAAAACACTTTTCTGACTGGCTGTCTTCTTCGGAAAAGAACAAAGGAGTCTAGATACGAAATCGAACTAAGTTACTTCTCGTTTCCTCCTTTGCTCTTCTAAGAAAAAGCCAGTCGATGGCTTAAACCAGTCAAAAAAGCCCCTTATATGTACTCTCACCTTAAGATTTTCTTCGCATCTCTTTTCAAAATCCTCGGGGTTTCTTTCATAAAATATTCGGTCGGGTTCTAAATTGTAAAAATATTTCCTTTTACAAAACTGTATTTGGAATATATTTAAATTTAATTTTTTTTCATTTTCAGATGTCGAATCATTCAAGCCAGCTAGGCAATAATTTGCTGACTATTTTATCGGACAATTCAGATGAAGTCGTATTGAGATGTATATCAGTCTTGGCCGAAATTGTCAACTCGCAACACTCCAAAGGTAAAAAAGGCAACGATAATTTTATGATGATTGTTTCCTGGTACAATAGCCCCGGGGAGTATCCCCATGTACTTAAGCATTGTAAAGATTAGGTACAGAGTTCTTCCGGATTGACCTCGATACTTTATGTATAGATTGGGTTCCAGGTCATAACAACATTGTTGGGATTGATTTGGCTAAGGAATTACCTCGAGGTAGTTCCCAGTCTATTCATATACCGAATGAGATTGTACACCAATAATTAACTATTATAAAACATCAACCAATTTTTTTATTTTTCCATTTTTTGATCTAGAAACAACGGACTTTAATAAGGCCCACTATAGGAAATTCCTTTTAAGTCTGGTGAACCTTTTCAGTGACGACAAAAGCATTTTGGATTATAGAGCCAGTTTGATTATCAGGTAAATAAAAACATTCCTATTTAACATCCATTGTATTTAATATTTGCCTTTTTTTATTAAATAGGCAGCTGTGTGTCCTATTAAATGCCGAATATATTTATCTAACATTTGCTGAGATCATCAATGAAGAGATTAGCAATTTGAAATTCGCCTCGCTTCTGGTGCGCCTGTTAAACAGTATTCTCATGACATCATCGGAATTGTTTGAGTTGCGTACCACCTTGAGAGATATATCCAATCCCAATTCGGCAAATTTATTCAAGACACTCTATTTAAGCTGGGCCCATTGTCCAGTGTCGACAATATCCATTTGTTTGCTGTCACAGAGTTATCAACATGTATCGGAATTGGTGAATCTATTGTAAGGATCTTTAGATAAATTTGTTATAGAATGAGATAAATATGTCCCTTGCTTTCTATAGTGCGGAAATCGAAATAACCTTGGAATTGCTGACCGAATTGGATAAGCTAGTGCAATTGATTGAGACGCCCATATTTGCTTGTAAGTTATATGCCGTATATATTTTGCAATGTTATATGGGATTTTTTCTTCTTTGCATTTCCAGCTCTCCGTTTAACCTTGGTCTCCAAGGACAACAATTGTGCCGATGCCCAGTACTTGGCCCATGCTTTATTCGGCATACTTATGTTGCTACCTCAGACCGATGCCTTTAACATGTTAAAAAATCGTCTACAATGCATCCCCAACTATTGGGGCCAACAGCCAATGTAAGTTGAGAATGTTCTACACAACAATTTGTGCTTTGTAATCAAGTTTTTGTTTTTCTTTTTTGCATTAATAGCAGCGAAAAACATTCCCTACAATATAAAAGTAACATAAACTTTGTGGACCTACTGCAGCACTTCAAAAAAGTCCAACGTAATCATCGGGAACAACGTTTGACACAGCGTAAACGTAGTGTATTAGTTAATGATATTTAAATAAATTAAGTTTAGTTGCATCGTTTTATGAACTAAAATTGTTTTTAATTTGTATTTTTTATACATTTGTATTTTAAGTTAAGCTGTGATGCGAATAAAACCATTATGTGTATATTATTTACCTAGGTAAATTAAATATTATTTGAGCGTTTTTTGGATTTAGAAGGAATGTGTGAAGGCGGGAATGGGCTCATAAATAATGTGAATAATGAAGTAAAAGGTATCCGTTGGTTTCTTGGCAGTTATATACCCTCAGCATATAAAACAAGTAAAATAGTATCAGTCGGTTTTGCCGATAGATGTATACCACCCAGCCTTGAATTATGATTATTCAAACTGTTGACCCTTCATGGGGGAGGTTCCGAAGACTATTACATAGTGCCAGATTTGGACCATATCGACTACTTTCTATACTTTATATGAGATATGTGCAATTTTGTGGAAAATTCTGGAAAATATGCGTGAGCTAACATATATAGCGGACCGAAGTATTCCATTTTCATACTTAACCTAAACACATAAAAATATTGGGATGTGCAAAATTTAAAGGAAATCTAATTTTTATGAGAAATCATGAATTCCGATAAATTACATATTCATATCTAGATTTTTGGTTAAGAGAACTACGTAGATATAGCAAGTTGTAAAGAATTGCCGACTTGTTTCGCAATTTATGAGAGATATAAGTATTGGAAATGCTTACCCTTTGTGGTTGAGGTACCAGAAGGGGCTGGCAGATGTATATCATTTCCTCAACAGATCTTGCGTTACCAAAAATATTGTGATGTGTGAAATTTGACGAGAGTTGGATGCTTATTTTGCTTTCTTTGAGCGTTTTGTTTTTCAAAATATTGAACGGTCCGATATATACCATCTTTATAATAGATCTTGTGTTTATGGAAATATTAAGAAGTTCTAAGTAAGAATAGAAGTGGATGTTAATTTCCCGTTTTATAAGCTTGATGAGTACTCAAAATTTTGACCCTTTGTGGGGAGGTACCAGAAGGTGTGGACCGACCTTGGGCTAATAAAAATATTGTGACGTGTGTAATTTGTAGATAACCGGATGCATACTTTGGTTTTTATGATTGATTTGGTTAATCAAAATGTTGACCCTTTGTGGGGGAGTAGAAGGAATGATCCAATCTCTACAATATTTATAACAATTCGTGGGTTGTTGGAAATATCGAGATGTACCAAGTCTGGAATGGAATCGGATGTTAATTTCGCGTTTTATGCGCTTCATCAATAATCAAAATTTTGACTCTTTTGTGGGGGAGGTACCGGAAGGAGTAGACCGCTATATTCCATCTTCACACCAGACCTTGAGTTAATGAAAATATTGTGATGAGTGTAATTTGAAGACAATCGGAATCTTACATCGCATTTTACAAGAGTTAGAATTATTCAAAATATTGACACTTTGTGGGGGAGGAATTTGATGTAGTAGACCAATATTGTCCATTTTCGCGCACCAGACCTGGCACTGATGCAAATATTAGGATTCGCAAAGTTAGAGCAAAATAGGATTATAGTTTCTCTTTCTGTGCAGTAAATTACTTTCTTGGAAAATGTTGACATTTTACGGGGAAGGTACATTAAGGAGTGGACAGATATTGTCCATTTCCGAACTCGATCTATGTTTGGTAATAATATTACGATGTACCAAGTTGGATCAAATCGGATATTTCGAGAGTTATTGTGCGCACCAGCCATACAGACAGACGTATGGACGGACATCGCTAGATCGACTCCAAATGTCCTGAAACGGTTTTGGTCCAAAGAGACCCAGGACCTTAAACCGTTATTTCGATGAGACACTTTTTGGCCGTATCAAAGATATATACCCTCTCTAGCCATATGGCTGAGGCTGAAAATATACCCTCGTATATGAAAGAAATTCCTTCCATTTGAGCTGATATTAGCCATTATTTGCACAATAAACGTGAAATCGGATTAGGGTAAATCTTAGAGTAATATTAGCCATTTGGTGCACAATTAACCCGAAATCGGTTGAAGATATAAAAGGGAGCTATATACAAATCTAACTCGATCCTGATACAATTAGACAGAGGTATTTCTGGGCTGTATCTGATACCAAATATCATTCTTATGGGGTGCACCCGATTCTCACCAATTTCAAGAGTTCTTCCTTGGGCCAAACAAATATTGTTTGGAAAATTTTACCTTAATCGGATAAAAATTGCGACCTGCATTTTGTTCTAGAACGCACACGCAACCATAGCTTTGAATATCAATTGAGTAAGTGAATAGAGTACTTATTAAGGTCTCTCGCTGCCGTAGGCTTGAATATCCTTGTAGTCTGTTTGAGTACCTCTTAATGTCTCTCGCAACCGTAGCTATGAATATCCCTGTAGTCTGTTTGAGTACTTATTAAGGTCTCTCGCAACCGTAGCGCTGAATATCCTGGTAGTCTGCCTGAGTACTTATTAAGGTATCTCGCTAACGTATGCTTGAATATCCCTGTAGTCTGTTTGAGTAAATAAAAAGGTCCCTTGGAACCGTAGCGTTGAATATTCTGCCAGTCTGCTTGAGTTCATATTAAGGTCTCTCGCAAGTGTAGCTGTAGCATGGACAGACGGACGGACAGGCATTCTATGAAGATCCTCAAAAGTAACTATGGGACTATCTCGCCTCCTACCCATGTTACAAACAAATGTACAAAGATATAATATCCTTACCACTATGTAAATAAGGCACACTGTAAACAAAAACCATCTAGAGATTTTTGAGTAGGTCTGCCAGGGCAGCTAATTTTTTATGGGAACTGAACGTAATTTAGCTGTAACTACCCTAGCTTGTTCGGGCGGTCGACGTTCTTCAGAGGCAACGAATTTGGGTTTGGAATCCGAAGACAGAATTCACACATCGGTGACTACTATAGTTGCACTCCATCTCTAGATCATACAGGTCCTTTCTGACACGACTAGGTGGGGAAGTTATATCTTTCCTTAATGGATTGGATGAATCCTAAACGGTAACACAAGAAACAAAAAGGGAAGACACTTCGTGTCCTCATGTAAATGGTGCGTTAATTTTGACTACAGCATTTGCCGGAATTCTGGTCTTTTTTGATTTCTGAATTTCTTAATGTGTTGTAAGATTTTTGTTAGACTTACCTTCGTTGTATTAAAATTTTTAAAACAATATTAGGACGTTATCCTGCTGGGTTAATCCACCGGGCATCTTGAGTATTGAATGTTGTGACATACATCTCCCTCAAGGGAGCTCTTTTCCAATGAAGTGTTCAACATTTTCCTTCAAATGGCACAATTTTCTCAAGAGAGCATGTTTCGGCTTGGCCGCGTTTTTTGGGACCATTGCCGTCGTTGTACGTAATAGAAGAACGAATTGAACGTCCCACAATGTCTATTCTGCTGACTATGTATAATATCGAGTAAATAGAGCCATTGCCTTGGAATTCCATTGAATTTTCTTGAATTTAAATTTGGGAACAACAGGTATCAGCTGGTCTTGACTTATCCGTTATGTTTATGCCACCAAACATGTTTATTCAACATCACAGCAAGTAATTGATACCTGATAAACAATTACTTTTTGACAGTTTCTAAATATTCGATTACTCTTTCCGCATTTTTAGCAGCACTTGACAACGACAGCAATAAAAACTCTAAAGATACAACCAAGGTAGATGTACTAGGTAATCGCATCAGCCCAGCTGACGGCACCATTAAATGTCAAAACAAATTGTTGTAATGAAGAATTCGCCCTAAATGAATGCAACAACAAATTTGTTTATGTTGTCTTCCCTAAAAATATTTTTATAATATTTCAAATAATATAAGAGCAAGTTAAGAGTGAAACCAGTAAAAATAATTAAAAGAAAATGAAGGAAGGAGTATAGAATGGAGTGCAGCTTTAAGAATTAAGTTAGCCTCAACATCTAAGATTCCCAAACCACATCACGGGAAGTGGTGCAAGAATTCGACTCTTGTCATTTGCAGTTCCGGAAAACCTTCGGCTTAAACCAGTAAAATATAGGGATTATAAGTTTCTTGGTTTAAAAAATATCGCAATACTACAATTAATACTTATTTTACTCTTATTTGTTTTACAATACAAACTTTTACTGCGAAGTTCGTTTACGACGAGAGGCACACAAAATAAAATGTAAACAAACACCTCGTTTCTGATTGGTTGAAACAAATTTGCCGCAACCTTTAAATGTCATGGCGAATCTATGTTTTTCGCCTTAGATGTCAATTTTGACATTTGAGGGGACCACAAAAGTTGCTTTGTTGTAGCAATTCGCCGATGCGGTTACCTGTTAGATCTACCTTGGATACAACAAATTTCTAAACATTGCATCAGTTTATTTTGACTTAAAAGTGTTGTTGGTCTGTGCTGTGGTGTGTGCGCTCCAAATTTATCTCTGAAAACAGAAAGCAAACAAAACCAATAATAACAACAAATTGTGAAAACATTTAAGGGCTTACAAGGCCCCCCCAAAAACCAAAGTGGCCAAAAAGAGGTTGTGGAACTGAAAATAAACAAACTAGGACAACTGAACAACTAGACGTAAACGTAAAATTACAGGGAACAAGAATTTGGAATTTCACAATTATAGGTAAAAAAATACCCAAGACTCTTGGATGTTCCCTCAAATATAAAGTGTGTTTTTTCATACACACATCGGAAATATTGAAAGGCCAATGTGGGCAGTGTTTTTAAAGTTCGTTTCAGTTTTAGTTTTAAGTCGAAGAGCATATATCAGATTTTTAGCGGACGCTATTTACTGGTAAGCTTGCCAATGCATGCATTTGTCTGCTGCATTTTGCATTATAAATTAGTAGACAGTGTTAGAGGTGAACATGCTCAGTGTCATAATTAATCGCCACCTAAACTAGTACATTAAAATCACTGTGAAATCCGTCGAACAGGTCAACTACATATATATGGTACGCTACATCAGTATTTGAATGCATCCGATAATATATATATTTATATATTGAATATTCCACTTTGGGTGAAACGGATTTTTTGACAAAAGTCCGGGTGTAAGAGTCGGACTTACTAAACCGTTATGGACAATATAGGTATCTTGAAAGTAAAAAAGGACCCATTTTGGGATCCACAAAATGTATGCCAAACTATAGTTGATAGTAGCTGCAATATATGTTAGTATCTTTCTTGGATCGAGAGATGTGGGTCTTTGAACCCGCTATAATTATACCCCCAGCTATGTGTCTACAGAGGGTATACAGGGTCAGATGAAAAAACTGCAACAAAGCTCAGACTGCTGTAATTTCTTAGCTACTCGTCCGACAGCTGTTAAAATTATTCCAGTGACAGCTCATTGTATTGTTTACAAGCGTACAAAAGCATTTTGGTGAGAATTTTCCAGAAAAAAAGTTATTTGCGATGGAATTCAAGCGTGATAGTGGAATTTCTTTATATTTGGCTGGAAAACCACAAGTGGCTATCGTTAGAGCACTCCAGCATTTAAATGTGAATAAATCTTTTGTGTCTCGTACCATCGCTCGTTAGCGTCAAGGAAGTGGATGGAAGAAAACAGCAACCTCAGCAGAAATGGTTTGAAAAGTAAAGAAGTGACTTGATCGAAACACGCGTCGCAGTGGCCGAAAAATGGCTCGTGAGCTGAAAATATCGCAATATTTCATTCGGCAAATATTGAAAAATGAACTCGGGGTAAAGTCATTGAAATTCCAAAAGTGCAAGAACTTACACCGCAGCAGAAAGATAATAGACTCAAAAGAACTAGAGAGTTGCTTCGCTTTGCCGAAAGTGGAGAACTGCCTAATTTGGTTATCTTCGATGATAAAACATTCGTTGTCAAGCAGTTTGTAAACAAATAAAGTGATCGTGTTTACTTGCCAAAGAGGTCAGCTGAAAATGTGCCCCTTCGATTGGCCACCAGAACTCAAGTGCAGGCCATGGTGATGGTGTGGACCGCCATCGCACAGCCGTTGGTCGCTCTCCACTCGTATTAATCGACCGTGGCATCAAAATAAATGCCAAAAATTATCGCGAAAATATTCTGGAGGGTGTATTAAAGCCATGGGCACGCAAACATTTTGTCCGCAGATCTTGGACATTCCAACCATCGCACTCAGCACGCGCCACCCAAGAATGGTTACAAAATGAGGTTCTTCGTTTCATTTCCAGCGCACAATGGCCACCAAAATCTCCGGATAACAATCTGTTGGACTATTGTATCTGAAGTATTTTGGAAAGCTAGGTTGGCACTAAAAAATACAAAAGTGTCTATCACCTCAAGCAATCGCTTCGCCTGGAATGGGCCAAAATACCGCAGAGCAACATTCGGACAGCGTGAGATGGTTTCATTGGCCGTTTGAAGCCATAATTCGTGCCAAATGTGACCAATTCGAACAAATCGAAACTTATTCTAAAATTTGATGCTCTTTCCGACATTTTTTCTTTCATTCAATAAAATTTGGCGTTTGACTTTCTTGCAGTTTTTTATCTCACCCTGTACGTCTGTCGGCAAAACCTACCTATACTATTTTACTTGTTTATTTATTTATTATTTTTATTTTATTTATTTATTTTTTTTTTTTTTTTTTATATCATAAAGAAAAAATCGGTTATCTAGTAAAAACTTTAATTCTATTGCAGTTCTGGAACAGACCAATTATTAGTACACATTTTTTGTTAATAGCGATCTTTACAAGTCGATATAACCCTTAATATTAACAGCACATAACCGAATTAGCTAACTGTTTCGTTGAAAAAAATCAACCTGGCCAAACACAAACAATGTTTTTTGTTTGGCTTAATATAATATTTATTGTGGTATGTACACAAATGCATACATCGTAAGTAAATATGTACATACATATGTATATTGTGTAATGTTAAACAATTGTCGATTTTATTAAAACAGCTCACCAAAAATTCGAACATAGTTCAGGCCCAAGAAAATATTGAACATTTTTTGTTTTTAGGTTCCCTTCCCCAAAAATTCGTGGCAATTTATAAGAAAACCCCAAAGTATATAGTGGATAGATACATTTGTATGTAACCCTGTGTGTGTGTTTTTGTATTCTGAACCAGTTACTGTTTTTATTTTCGTTTGCAGTTAAGCTTTTGTGTTTTGATTATATTATTATTTTTATTTTTTCTTTATTTCTTGTTGATAAACAAATCGGTTATTCTGTTTTGAACTTTAATTTGTTTTCATTTCTATTTGACTTTTCTTGAGTTATTGCTTTGCTCGCCTGATTCGATTTCGGGGGGCTGACGTAAATAATTCAATTTGCCAAAAACAAAAAAGAGGCTTGCTCTCCCCTAACTGCTGCTAAACGAAAAACGAAGAAAAACAAATGGAATTGTGTTAGGCAATAGGAGATTGTACCCAACGATATTGGTATGTACTCGTATGTACGTATGTACGTGATTTTCGACAGGCGATTTGCCAAATAAATAACAAGGACTTTCAAAAATGAATATTATTGAATTGTTATACCCTATGCCATGGCGAGATAGACTTTTGGTCAACTTTGCTGATCGACATAGAATTCAAGTGCATATACATGAAAGGCTTTTTACTGGATTGAGTCATCGGAGCAAATTTGTTTTAAATTGACTACTTTAAGAGGCATGACAATTTTAATACTAATCTCATAGAAGGCCAGAAGGTCTTCTCACAGAAGTTATATTTCGGACCGTAATTTATACTTGTTCGCCCTGATCTTCTGTTCTTTTAGGAAAAAACCAGGCGATGATTTAAGCCAGCAAAAAAGCGTTTTATGTATTCTCACCTAAAAACAGTCAACAGTCACTTTTACTTTTTGAGACGATTACCTTCTTTTTTTCAATTTGGAGGTTGTACCCACTTATAATCCCACATCATTTCAATTTTCAATCACAAATTTAAAAAAAAGCTGCTGGTTAAGTTTGCTATAATTAACCGGACAAACTTCTTCAGTAAAATCCAGTAACTCTCAGTAAAACACCATTTACTCTTACCGGGACAATATTCTGTAAAATTTTACCAGATATCGAGTAAACAGACACACTTGTTGTTACGCCTAAAGTTTGGAAGAAATATTTCATTTACACTTTGCTTAGCAGCCAGTACTTACAGAAAAAAAATCCAAAAGATTGTGAAATTAGCCCTAAAACTAGGGGACACTTATATCGGCGCTATGAAAATTTACATCGCAAAATGAACAAAATTGAGAAGCTATTTCCCCTCTTCCAAATTTTTGAAAATTTTAGGATAAAAATTCTTTGGAAACTTTGCATTTAAGGCTTCCTTGGCAATATAGATACTAATACGAGAATTATTATATATACAGGGTGAGACAAAAAACTGCAAAAAATTTTATTGAATGAAAGCAATGTGTCGGAAATAGCATCAAATTTTGGAATAATTTTAGATTTGTTCGAATTGGTCACCTTTGGCACGAATTATCGCCCTCACACAACGACGCTGCCCGAATGTTGCTCTGCTGTTGTTTTTTTTTTGGCCCATTCCCGTCGAGGCGCTTGCTTGAGGTGATCGACACTTTGGTACTTTTTAGTGTCAACCTTGCTTTCCAACATACTCCAGACACAGTAGTCCAACGGATTGTTATCCGGAGATTTTGGTGGCCATTGTGCGCTGGAAATGAAGCGAGGAACCTCATTTTGTAACCATTCTTGGCTGGCGCGTGCTTAGTGCGATGGTGCTGAGTCCTGTTGAAATGTCCAAGGTCTATGGCCAAAATGTTTGCATGCCCAAGGCTTTAATACATCCTCCATATTCGGCATTCATTCTGATGCCACGGTTGATTACTACGAGCAGAGAACGACTATCGGCTATTATGGCGGCCCACACCATCACCATGGCCGGCGCTTGAGTTCTGGTGGCCAACCGAAGGAGCACATTTTCAGCTGACCTCTTTGGCAAGTAAACATGATCATTTTCTCATCGGAGAAAACCAAATTCGACAGTTCACCACTTTCGGCCAAGCGAAGCCACTCTTTAGCTCTTGTGACTCTATTTTCTTTCTGTTGCGGTGTAAGTTCTTGTACTTTTTGGAATTTCAATGGGTTTGCCGCGAGCTCATTTTTCAATATTTGCGGAATGGAATATTGCGATATGTTCAGCTCACGAGCCATTTTTCGGCCACTGCGATCGGGTATCGATCAAGTCGCTTCTTCACATTTCTGCTGATGTTGCTGTTTTCATCCGTCCACTTCCTTGACGTCGGGCTACGCTACCAGTATCACGGTAACGAGCGATTGTACGAGATACAAAAGATTTATTCAAATTTAAATGCTGGAGAGCTCTAACGATAGCCACTGGATCTCAATTCTCACCAAAATGCTTTTGTACGTACGCTTGTAATAAGTTGTCACTGGAATAATTTTAGCAGCTGTCGGACGAGTGGCTTAGAAGCGACAAGAGTCTGAATTTGGTTTTTCATCTCACCCTGTACTTCGCTTTCTTTTAGCGTTTTGTTTCAAAATCTTGAACCCTATGTGGGGGAGGTATCAGAAGGTATCGTCCGATCTGTACCATCTTTATGATAGATCTTGTGTTGATGGAAATATTACGATGTACCATGTTTGGATCAAATCGGATACTCCCTTCGAGGG